CCACCCAGCATCCGTGTCCCCCTCACTGCAGCAGCCCTTCCCAATGGCTCCTCTGCAGCAGGGCTGGGCTGGGGACTCTGCTGCCAGGAGAGGCACGTCCTGCAGGCAGACGGACAGGGTTAGCATCTCATTTCAGCAGGCAAGGACCCCTGCTACAAGGCCACAGCCTCCAGCGTTTACCTGGGGTGGGCTTATCTGGAGGTCCGTTGTTGCCTGCTCCCAAAAAGCAACACGAAAACAACTCCCACGGCACAACAGGCTTGCCCCAGCAAGGACCAATGGCTGGCACCACTCTCCCTACGGCTCGCGAATCCATCACTCCAGCCTCTTCTCATCGCAGGGTCTGACATGAGCGAGCACAGCCCAGAGACAGGCTGGGGAAGGAATCTGGCTGTTTTTCACGTGGCTGCGGCATGAAGCAGGGAGGGAGGTTATGAGAGCACACCAGAAACTATTAACGCTCTCTCCACCTCTGTAAAGATTTTGTAATCTCTGTAAAGATTTTGGCCAGAAAATAAACCCTTCAGCTACCGCAGCATCCAGTGGGAATTGGCTTGGGAGCAAATGGCTCTGGGGCCCTCTCCCATGACTCCACCACAGACCCCTATTTTCTGTGCCTCTTCACAACATCTCCACTTGGATAATGCACAATCAGGCCTGGAGCATCTGGGACACAGGCGCTCTCCTCCCAGCACTCTCCCAACCCGCTGCATCTCCACACACCTCTGATGTGGTGGGGCTCAGCAACGACCAGCCAGCAGGAAAGGGCCAGGAGTGACGCACTCTCAAAATGCTCATTTATTACATTATAAGTCACTGAATTTTGCAGATAGCTGCACTGTGCACCAGGAATCACTCTGCAGCTGACAGAAGGATGAAGTGGAGGTGATGCTTCCTCATCTCCCTCTGCCGGGCTCCACCTTACAGACCTCTGATGCACGTTTCTTTGTTCATCCTATGATGCAGGATCGGTGCACTGTAACTCACCGCACACAGGCGCTGTCGAGGGGAAACATCGCGAGCAGTCACCTGGCACCCTGTGGGCAAACACAGCCCGACCTGGGCAATCCTGCATTATGGATTCGAACATTGGATTCAAACGTTGCAGCTGCAATGGCAAACCCTCACGCATGCACACCTACAAATGCAACAGACAACGTTTTCAGGACGCTGCCTGCCTGCTTTTACACAAACGCACTAGAAGAAGACAAACTGTCAAGGTGTTTTTCCAGCAAACAGACTATTTTCCCGATACCTCCATGCTTAACCCATTCCCCTGGCTCCCACACTCTCCACCTCCACAGCCAGCAGCAGGAGTGCTCCGGGTGCCTGGCCTTGGCACAGACAAGGTGCTCTGAGAAGGCCAAGAGCAGCTCATGCTCGCTCCAACACATCTCCTCCCCAGTCTTTGCCCTCCCTCCAGCTCCACTCGGTGGGAAAGGCATAAGCTGATGCTCACAGAGGCTGCTGTCTCCAGGTCAGGACTCCCAGTGCAGGCAAAGGCTGATATCAGCTTCATGGCAGACCAAGCTGGAGCCAGCAGCTGGAACCTGCTGCAAGCAGCATCAAACTCCAAGAGACTTGGAAATTGGTCATTAACAGGCAGCTTGGACAAACATCATTATAATCCGGTCTATGCTTAATAATCAGTACAGCTGTCGATAATAAGCTGGAGAAATTGTCCTGTTCAGAGTCTGAGGCCAGGGAGACCACTGGAAGGCTCGTCCTCTCTCTGTGTAACTTTCCCATCACTTCTCCCTTGCAGAACCTTTGCAATGCATCGAGCCCTCCTCCAGCTCCTCAGGCCTGGCCACACCACATTAAAACGGGATTTATGAGCCTCAAGCACAGACAAGAGTTATGCAGTCTGCACTCTGCACGCTGCATACCAAGTCCCCAGCTGGTTTAAATCAGATTAACTCCACTGATGTAAGACATTTAAGGCAAGAGAGTTCCATGATTTACACCAGCTAAGAAGCTGTTACATTATAGTCTGGCAACTGCGGGTTTTAGATCTGAAGTTTTTTGGGCAAGGATCCCAAGCAACAGCGAAAGACAGAGCAGCTGAGTGGCAAAACCCATTTATTTTCAGTGCAACATGCACACAGCCAGCACATGCTCCACAAAAGTCTCTTTTTAAAAAAAACAACAACCCTGGTGTTCAGTTTTAAGTGTCATTGGTTTGCAAAGTCAATGTCTCATCACAACCCCAAGGCTCCAAACAAATCACTAGGTCAGGATACTACAGAAATGCCTCCCTTCAAAAAATGATAAATTTGGGAAACTAAAGCCAGACAACTTTAATGCAAAGGTTGCTAGCTATTGAAAAAAACTCTATAGACTGATTAACATAAATGCAAACAAATACACAAGAGAGTTTAATATTCAGCTCAGGGCCTTCATTTCTGCTGGAGCATGCTTAAGCTTCCAGTTAAATTTGGCTTCCGCAAAAAAATGGTGCTAACACTATGGAACCAGATGTGCCTGCAAAGGTGCACAAAAAGACGCAGCATTCAGGGCAGGTGGAATGGCACAGAAACGCTCCAGGAAAAATGCTAATACTGTCTGAAAAGAAAGGTTTAGTCTTTTCACATCCACCTTAGCAAAGTGTTTTCTTCAGGCCAGCAGAGCATGGTTTGTCAGAGCCAGGAGAGCGGCAGGGGGCCCCGGCCCCTCCCCCGCCCCCCCAAA